TTTCTCATTTCATGTTTTACTGTATGCTCTGCTATGGATTTCACAGAAGGCTCTGGAGGCTGAGATGGGGTCTCCTGACCATGTGGAGAGTTGACCTCTGCAGTCGGTAGAGGAGTTATGTGACGTTCCAGGTTCAGAGCCTGAATGACTACAGGAGTGAGGTTTGGCTGCTGAGCCTGCACCTGCGTCTCCTCTGGCTATACAAGTGTGACCTCCGGGTGCTTCAAGGAAAAAACTATAGCCTCTGTCAGGATCACAGAATGTTCAGCCTCTGTACTGACTTCAGGACTTAGGGTTAAGCCCATCTCCAAGGGTTACATCAAAACACCAGGCACTATCGGAGGCTCAGCTCCATGCTGACCAAGCGCTCTTGGATTTGTCAATTCATGTGGTACTGCATGCTCTCCTATAGCCTTCATAGATGGCTCTGGAGGTTGTGATGGGGTCTATTGAAAATTTGGAGAGTGTTGAACCCTGCAGTAGGTACAGGAGTTATGTGATGTTCCAGGTTCAGAGCCCCAATGCCGACAGGAGTGAGGTTTGGCTCTGGAGCCTGCTCCTGTGTGTGCTCTGACTGTACAAGTGTCACCTCAGGGTGCTTCAAAGGAGAAACTGTAACCTTGTGCATGATCGCAGAATGTTCAGCCTCTGTAGCGACTTCAGGACTTAGGGTAAAGCCAATGTACAAGGGCTGTACCACAACACTGGGCAATGTTGCAGGCTGAGCTGTATCCTGAAGCAGTGGTCCTGGATTTGTCATTTCATGTTTTACTGTATGCTCTCCTATAGCTTCCACAGATGGCTCTGGAGGCTGAGATCAGGCCTCCTGAAAACGTGGAGAGAGTTGAACCTCTGCAGTAGGTACAGAAGTTATGTGATATTTCAGGTTCAGACCTGAATGATGACAGGAGTGAGGTTTGGCTCTGCAGCCTGCTCCTGTGTGTGCTCTGGCTGTGTAAATGTGAACTCCAGGTGCTTCAAAGGAGAATCTGCAACCTCTGCAGGATCACAGAATGTTCAGCATCTCTACTGACTTTAGGACTTAGGGTAAAGTCCAGGTCCAAGGGTTATACTAAGACACTGGGCACGATGGGAGGTTGAGCTGTATGCTGACGCAGTGGTCTTGGATTTGTCACTTCATGTGGTACTGTATGCTCACCTCTAGCCTGCATAGATGGCTCTGGAGGCTGAGATAGGGTCTCCTGACGATTTGGAGAGAGTTGAACCCCTGCAGTAGGTACAGGACTTATCTGTCCAGGGTCAGAGCCTGAATGAGGACAGTAGTAAGGTGTGCCTGCTGAGACTTCGCCTGCATCTGCTCTGGTTGTACAAGTGTCACACTCTGGTGCTTCAGAGGAGCAAGTGTAAACTTCTGCAGGATCACAGAATGTTCAGCCTCTGTACTGACTTTAGGACTTAAGGTTAAGCCCATCTCCAAGGGTTATACCAAAGCACCGGGCACTATGCGAGGTTCAGCTCTGTGCTCATCCAGCGCTCGTGGATTTGTCAGTTCATGTGGAACTGCATGCTCTCCTATAGCCTCCATAGATTGCTCTGGAGGCTGAGATGGCGTCTCCTGAGAATTTGGAGAGCACTGAAGCCCTGAAGTAGGTACACAATTTAAGCGATGTTCCAGGTTCAGAGCCTGAATGAAGACAGGAGTGAGGTTTGGCTGCTGAGCCTGCACATGCATCTGCTCTGCCTGTACAAGTGCCACCTCCTGGAGCTTCAGAGGAAAAACTGCAACCACAACACTGGGCACTATTGAAGGCTGAGCTGCATGTTGACCCAGAGGCCTTGGATTTGCCAATTCATGTGGTACTGTATGCTGTCCTATAGTCTTCATAGATAGCTCTACAGGCTGAGATGGGGTCTACTGAAGATTTGGAGAAAGTTGAGCCTCTGCAATAAGTACAGGAGTTATGTGATGTCCCAGGTTCAGAGCCTGAATGATGACAGGAGTGAGGTTCTGCTCCTGAGCCTGCGCCTGCATCTGCACTGCCTGCACAACTGCCACCTCTGGGTGATTCAAAGGAGAAACTGCAACCTCCTGCATGATCACAGAATGTTCAGCCTCTGTAGTGCCTTTAGAACGTAGGGTAAAGCCCATATCCAAGGGCTGTACCACAACACTGGGCAATGTTGGAGGCTGAGCTGTATGCTGACCCAGTGGTCTGAGATTTGTATTTTCATGTTTTACTCTATGTTCTGCTATAGCTTCCATAGATGGCTCTGGAGGCTGAGATGGGGTCTCTTGAAAATTTCGACAGAGTTGAACCTCTGCTGTCGGTACAGGAGTTATATGATGTTCCAGGTTCAGAGCATAATCAGGACAGGAATGAGCTTTGGCTGCTAAGCCTGCACCTGGGTCTCCTCAGGCTGTACAAGTGTTACCTCCTAGTTCCTCAAAGGAAAAACCGTAACCTCCTTCAGGATCACAGCATGTTCAGCCTCTGTACTGACTTTAGGACTTAGGGTAAAGTCCATGTCCAAGGGTTGCACTAAAACACTGGGCACTATTGGAGGTTGAGCTGAATGCTGACCCAGCGGCCTTGGATTTGTCACCTCATGGGTACTGCATGCCCTTCGATATCCTCCACAGATGGCTCTGGAGGCTGAGATGGGGTCCCCTGGAAAGTTGGAGAGAGTTGAACCTCTGTAGTAGGGACTGGAGTTATGTGACGCTCCAGGTTCAGAGCCTGAAGGACGAGAGGACTGAGGTTTGGCTGATGAGCCTGCGCCTGCATCTGCTCTGGCTGTACAAGTGTCACCTCTGGCTGCTTCAGAGGAGCATCGGTAACCTCACCACTGTGCACTATGGGAGGCTGAGCTGTGTCCAGACTGAGTGGTCTTACATTTGTCACTTTGTGCGGTACTGTATGCTCTCTTACAGCTGCCATATATGTCTCTGCAGAATTTGGAGAGAGTTGAACCTCTGCAGTAGGTACAGGAGGTAAGTGATGTTCCACGTTCAGAGCCTGAATGATTACAGGCGTGTCTTGGTTACTTTCTTCTGGCTGCTGGGACAAAACACCTGACACCCAAAATTAAGGAAGGAAAGGTTTATTTCGCTTACAGTTTGTGGAAGTTTCAGTCCATACTTGGCAGGTTATAAGGCAGAGTGCACATGGCAAAGAGCTACAGCTCAGGGTGGCAG